CCCCCCCCCCCAGTTGACATCCCAAGGCTGCCAGGAGACCCCTTGGCCCCCTGGCACTGGCAGAAGCCTTGGAGAGCATCTTGGGGGGCGTTACTATGTGCCTTCAAGTGCTTTCCGACTTATGGCCACCCTTAAGATGAACCTATCATGGGTTTTCTTGGCAAGGTTTGTTCAAAGGAGGTTTGCCTTTGCCTTTCACTGAGGCTGAGAGAGTGTGACTTCTAAGACTGCTGTTATTGTGTGCCTTCAAGTCCTTCCCAAATTATGGCCACCCTAAGGCCAACCCTACCATGGGGTTTTCTTGGCAAGATTTGTTCAAAAGAGGTTTGCCATGGCCTTCCCCTGAGGCTGAGAGAGTATGACTTCTAAGACTGTTGTTGTTCTTGTTCTTGTGTGTCTTCAAGTCCTTTCCGATTTATGGTGACCCTTAAGCCAACCCTATCATGGGGTTTTCTTGGCAAGATTTGTTCAGAGGGGGGTTGCTTTTGCCTTCCCCTGAGACAAAGTGTGACTTGCAAGCCAGGATTCGAACCCTGGTTTCCAGAGTCCCAGTCCAACAGTCAAGGGCCCACTGCATGGTGTTGTTCCAGTGGCACATAGATGTTCCTTTTTTTACCTGACAACTCCCCATTTCCAAAGGTGGGGAGATTCTGTAGCTCTCCGTTGTGCCATTGCACAACTATGGTGTTGCACACATTGGCAAAGCAGCACAATGGCTGAACAGAATGGCACCACTCTTTGAAAAAGCAGAGACAGGTTTTTCCCAGAGAAGAGATAGTTAAGCGGCAATGCAACCGGCCTCTCCAAACATTTCACTGTCACATTCAATCTGGTGATTCTAAAAACCCAAATTAGTGGAGCTAAAAAAACAAAACCTTGCCAGGTTTGCAAACCCTAGGCAATCCCACCCCCAAAAAGAAAGGATAGGCTAGACAAGCTTATTCAATGTCGGAAAAGTACAAAAATAGGACGGTCGGAGAGACCAGCTGTAGAGGGAGGCCAAGGCTTAGATGACCGGTGGCACCTGGGGGGCAGAAACCCCCCAAAATCATATTCATATCCCTTTGGAGGGCATGGTATGGAAAGGGATG